TGTCTAACCCAACAGCCGGCATAAGTGGCAAAACGAAATTTAGTGTTAAGATCAAATTTTTCCATGGCCTTGAGAAGAGAAAGGACTCCTTCCGAGTTCAACTCCTCAGAACCCACTCAACCCTTTAATGAAGAATAACCCCTTGCTATGTATTTGACTATATTTTGATTACGGTCGAGGAGAGAACGAATAGCGTTTATGCCTTTCTGGAGTTTTTCCTGGTCTATTTCGGCTAATTCTTGGTTTTTTTTTTCTAATTCGGATTTTAATTTTTTCAATTCATCTTGGTCTTTTTCTGACTTAACTTTTCTCACTTTTTCCTTTTCGGCAATTTTTTTTTCTAGGCTAATGATAGCTAAAATAATTTTAACTACTGGTTGGGCGTCTCGTAATAATTCTTTTTCTTCGTTGGCTTCGAGAGGGTGAAATTTATTCATAATTTAATAGAAATTGTTTAGCATTATCTAGTTCTTGAAGTGCCATATTAACAATTTTTGACTTTTGGTCGGGAGGGAAAAAAGCGGTTGAATTAGAGCCGCGGTAGCCAGAAAATTCGGGGACAGGATAATTTTTTGAGTAAGAGTCATGAAGGGGGGAGGATATATAATAATTATAGAGGTTATAATACTGGGCACGATGACTTTGAGTGGAAAAAAAGGGGATTTTTTCTTGGGTTAATAGTCAAAAATCTCGTTCTTGAGTACAAAGACTGATTATTTTTTTTTCCTTTTCAACAATTAATTCTTGACCATAAATAATTTGATAATGGCGAGTATTGAAAGACGGCAAATTTCATTTGATAAAATGGGGTTCGATTTCGGTTTTTTTTCAGCCGGTTAAGGAGGATATTTTGCCGATTAAAAAATCGTAAATATTTGGTTTAAATTTTTGGAAAACATTGGCTACTTGGTTAATAAAACGGACAGTTCTTTGGGGATTATCTCGGACTGCTAGTTTGAAAAAGTAATATTTTAGGATAAATGAGTAGGGATTTTCGCGACTATGGAGTAGGATTTGAATGCTTTCTTGGCTTTGTTGACGACAAATTTCGTCGGGATCACCTGGATAGTCATTTTTCACTACTTCACAATCAATTTCCCGTTCTAGCAATTTTATGGCTACATTAACTGTGGCTTCCTGTCCTGCTTTATCGTTATCTAAAAAGAGGATAATTCGTTTTTTTAACCCGAGCAAAAGTTTAATTTGTTCTTCTGATAAATTGGTTCCCAACAGAGCCAGGCAGTTTTTAATTTCCAATTTACTCAAACTGATGACATCAAAAAATCCCTCGACCAAATAACATTCTTCGACCCGGTTTTTTTTAACGATCGAATAATTATACAACAAGGCCGATTTTTGATAATATTGGTAACTAGGCAAATATTTGTATTTTCCTTCGTCGGCGGATATTTCTCCGACTTTTCGTGCCGCAAAAGCCACGACTTTCCCCTCTGTATTGGCTAAAGGTATAATTAGATGGTGGGCGGGGAAAAAATCACAAGTTTGATTCTGGTCCGTTATCCAAACCAGATTAGTGGCTAATAAATCCTCGGAGGAAAAATCAGCATTTTTTTGATCCAAAAGTAGGCGGCTTAATTGGCGATTATTGATGCTACATCCTAAACCGAAGCGATTAATTGTTGTCTTGTCTAAATGCCGTTCTTGACGGAGATAATTTAATACTTCCTGGCCGACCGGGGTCAGCAAATTATGTTGATAAATGTCGGCTATGAGTGAAAGCAAATAAAAAATTTGATTTTTTTCTTTTTGCTCTCGTTTTTTTTCTTCTTGTAAGATTGCCAAATCAAAATAGCCCATTTTGCCGATTTCTACAATGGCCTCTTCCTGGTCGATTTTTTGATGCTGGGCTCAAAAATTAAAGATATCGCTAGCCTTAAAGCCACAAGTAAAACAAGTAAATATTTTGCGATTGGGCTCGAAACTACAACTGGGATTTTTATCACTGTGAAAAGGACAAAGAAAGAAAACACTGCGCCCTTTTTGTTTCAAATTAAGGTTTAACTTGCTAGTTAATAAATTAAGAATATCATTGGTATTTAACAAATCTTTGTGTCTCATTATAGCAAATTTTAAGGTTCTTTTGCTCCAATTTCAGAAAAAAAACTTCTATCAGGCTTGACCTATAAATAATTTTTAGCCGAGTTTATTTTTTTGCCATAGACCCTATTTACTTAAATTTATAATAATTTTCAACTCTAGTGTTAATTATATATATAAAATTATAAATATATAAAATTAGATTTACAAGGATTTATGACCGCACCAAAAATAGTTAACCACAAAAAATACCGTAAAGTTAAAGAAAGTAAACAAAAATTAGAAACAATCAACCACGAGGCTAACCAGGCAGCAGGCGCTTTAATTAATGAAAATGCGGATCTAAAAAAACGAACAACCGCTCAAAAAGAAGAAATTGACAAAAAAGCCGCTGAAATCAGCCGGTTAAGAGCCGAAAATAAGAAATTACAAAATAGAAGAAAAGATTCCGGTTATGAAGAAAAAGAGGAAGAAGAAATAATTAATAGGATTAATGCTGAAAAGGCCAAAATTGAAACCCAAATTAAGGAATTAGAAAAACGACCAACGGCTGAACAACTGGCCGAAGCCGAGAAAAAAATGCTTGATGCTAATGAGGCCAACATTAAACTCCAAAATCAAATTGCCAGCCTAAAAAAAGACTACAAGCAAGCTCAGAAAATTTTTGACAATAAATTAAAAACCCAAGAGGAGTCATTTGAAGAACAAAAGGGGGAAATTGCCGCTAATTTAATTAAACAGACAGAGGAAACATGGCAGAGAGAGAGAGAGAGAGAGAGAGAGAGCAAAATGGAAATTAGAAAAGGAAAATGAGGTCAAAAAATACAAAGAGGGTTATGATAATTTGATCGCTCAAATAGAAAGGGATTTTCAATTAATTGAAGAGAAAGAAAAGGAGATAGAAGCAAAAGAACGAGATTTATTTTTGCGAGAGGGGGAAGTTAATGCCATAGAAAACGCTTTGAAAAATGTCTTGGGAATTGAAGTAAAAGGCGATTTC